TGGTGGTGTTGTTGGTGGTGTTGGTGGTGGTGTTGGTGTTGGTGCTGGTGCTGGTGCTGGTGCTGGTGCTGGTGCTGGTGCTGGTGCTGGTGCTGGTGCTGGTGCTGGTGCTGGTGCTGGTGCTGGTGCTGGTGCTGGTGCTGTGGTTGGTTGGTTGTTGGTGGTTGTGGTGCTGTTGTTGCTGCTGTTGCGGTTGTTGTTGCGCTAGGTACTAGGTACGGGGTACACGGTCACAAGGTACTCCGTACTGGGTACTAGGTCCTCGGTGGTAGTAGTTACCTGTTATTAGTTACGGGTTACTGGTTACTAGTTACGACTACTAGTACTAGCAGAAGAACTAGGTTTTGGTGTTGGTGGTAAAAGCCGAAGTAGTAGAAGCTGCAGAAGGCCGCAGTAGCAGCAAGGACACGTTGAGTACGCCTTTTGTTTCGAGGAGCGAGGAACATAACATTTGGCAGCCAGAGGTTTGTTTAACTTGTAGGAGTTTCAACTTGCGCTACCAGTGCCGTGGTTTGCAATGGAGGAGCTGGCCGCCAACAAGCAGGCGACAGAGTTCGCCGCCAGAGTCTTATTGTTTGTGTCTCGGGGTTTTGGGTGCAGGAGGCGTGCGGATCCGAAAGGGTTCTTGTTTGGTCAGAGTGCTCGTGGAAAGAGGCATGCACTGAAACCACGGCACAGGTACACCAACAGAATGCAGCTGTGATGCACAAACACACTCCCCCCCCCCCAAAAAAAAACAACAACACAGTGCCTCTCAACTGTGACGATACAAAGTCACAAAGACTGACCACGAAATGAAGGGTTCATCCTTACATCATGCACTTGCCGGCTTAGCGAGGCGTCGTCGGCTTGTGAAACTGTCGTCCTTTGTGCAACATGCACGCCACTGTAGCCTACGCCCCGCCCCTTCCCCAAAAAAGGCAACTACACACCCAAATCGTCACAATCCCATGTCCCTTCGGTACACTGGTCGTCCAGCATTTAGTTGAGGTCGCGGACCTGAATAAAATGCCCAAGCTGCCCTATGGCGATTCGGAGTTCGACTTCGTGACGAACGTGGCGACTTGAATTTATTGTGCAATCAGGGTTTCTGGCTTAGGCCTGTGCAAGCCTATACCCGAGTCCTGGGGTCATTAATCATTGACCGAAACCCTAGGATCCCACGCCGTGAGCCTGCTGAGAAGGATGTTTCTTACAGATTTGTTCGCCTCTCTGCTGCCGGTGCTTGGCCTGCTTGGTAGTTCACGACTCGAGGTACAGATGAGGTGTACTGAAAGCTTCAAAGTGCTATTCACTCTGATTGAACAAATGCGGTCGGAGGAATAAGATCATTAGTCAGCCCGGTACTGCCGACCGCCTTCTACGAAGACTACAAGCCTGCAACCCGTCCCCGATGCCCAAACAAAATCATGGGGTCGTAATAGTAACAATGCAATGGTTGTTTCGGGCGGCCTGTTTCTGGTGTGACCGTTCCTCTATTAATGACCAGTCCTTTTTTAAGATTGGCTACTCGGCTGCCTCATCCAGACACTCGTCCCGCCCATGGTTCAACCACCCCAATCGTTTTGCACACGCTTATTCCCTAAGCCTGAGGGGGGGAGTGGGAGCTTTATTTATCCAGCTGAACAAGCAACAAGAAACAATAATCAATGAAAAAAGAGGGAGAGAGACGCGACAGAAGTGCTCTGGCAATGGGTGCGGAACATCTGATCCGTCTGTCGTTGAGGGTCAAGGAGACGTGTAACAAGAGCGCATGCATCCACTCCGACGAATTTGGGGTTGCCGTCTCAACATAACATATGTAGAGAAGCCAAGGTGAGCGTGGATTACCTGACAAAGCCTCGTGATGCCTTTCCGACGAGCTTTTACGGGACAGTTTGCTTAAGTCATCGCGCATACTTGCTGAAGTGGTCAGGAGCATGATTTTGCGCATGCACTGGGATGTGACGGATACCCACGGCCCTCACACGCTCTGCCCCTAAAAATAAGTTCAGATAGTTCAGGCTTATGAGAAATAGAAGCACCGAAACCTCAATAGCGAGCCTACAGATGTCATTGCCATATCTCCTTCAGCAATTGGGGCGCCCTCGGCCCTGCAGCATCAAGTCTTACATCCTTTGGGCTCTCGCAGATGTATGAGGAGCTTGAAGAACGTAGAAAGGTCTGCCATAGCCACATAACCTGAAGAATTGAACCAATCCTGAGTCCACCATATCAAGCTTCAGCCGCAGAGGTGTTTTCCGAGATGCACCGAGTCCTGAAACCCGGTGGCAGGGCGCCTAGGGACAAATGCAAGCTTGTTTTGCGGGCTCGGCTACAAGAAGCGGCTGGCATGGTGTGAAGGCGGGGTGGATTTTCCGTCGGTTCTCGTGAGAAAGAGCGAGGCGTCCTGTGTCAATCCTGCGCTGAGTCAGCAGATCTCGCATACGATTTCAACTCGCACTACTTGGGTTTATGGGTATATACTACATCAACAACTACTGCTGCTGCTGCTGCTGCTACTACTACTATCACTGCTACTACTACTACTACTACTACTACTACTACTACTACTCAGTCCTACTCTTACTCCTACTCCTACTCCTACCCCTACCCCTGCTACTACTACTACTACTACTGCTGCTACTACTACTACTACTACTACTACTACTGCTACTACTACTGCTATTGCTACTGCTACTGCTGCTGCTGCTGCTGCTGCTGCTGCTGTTGCTGTTGCTGTTGCTGTTGCTGTTGCTGTTGCTGCTGCTGTTGTTGCTACTGCTGTTGCTACTGGTACTACTAC